ACACTATATAATGAAAATTTTAAATTTTATCAAACATAAAATAAAAATTAATAATTGACAAGTATAACTGTTAGAATTATATTATTATTATAAAATATTAGAATATATGATACATATTATTAAATAAAACTATCTAATATAATTTGATTTATATTGTTAATATGAAATATTAATATCTGATGTCTTAATTTGTATAAAATATTTAACTCGTCTGAATCAATAGAAATATCTAATGAATATTCAAAAAATAAAACAAGATCATCCAAATAATCTAAAGCTTTATTTTTTAAAATTATTTCCAAAGGCCTTTCATTTAGATCTATTTCTGGTTCATTATTATTTGATTTTACTATAGCTACAATTTTATCATCTGTTAATCTTTCATTATTTTTTAAACAGTCATCAATATGAAAAAAGTCTCTTATATCCATAAGATCATCAAATAGAAGTTGGTCAATTAGCTCTTGCATTTTCATTTTACCAAAAAAATCTTGATCAAAATCCTTAATTTTATCATTCATTTTATCATCCATTTTATTTTGTGAAAGAATTTCTGTATGTTTCCAACAATTAGAAATTATTTATTAACTTACAGAATTCTAAGCATTTTTATTAAAATTAATAGCATCATAAATATTTAAAGGAACAACTTTTTTATTTAATTCTTGTAAAATTACATATGCTTCAATTCTATTTCTAACAAATAATTTTCAATATTGTGTCTAATTATTAAATAATTTATATAAATTAAAAATTTGATAAAAATTTTTATATTGATTTTTAAATTAAAAAATATTACCAACCTTAAAAGAGTTAATAATTCCTGTATTACAAGGTTGCAAATATGCTATAATATTTAGTGGTAAAAAATGTACAGTCACATTTGTTAAATTTAAATTTTTATCTATAATATGCACTGGAGCATTATCAACAAGTAAGAGAATATGAAGATTTTGTAATCGCATTTTTATGTTCAATTTTTTAAGATAATCATTCTATATAGAAATTTGTATCTATGCTGTTGAATTTCAATAATAATTAACTGGTAATTTCTTCTTTTTTTTTTACATGCAATATTTGAGGATTTTGGTAAGTATGAATAAAAAGTAGTTTCAATTTTTCAGTTTCAGTTGCATTACATATAAGCAGAAGAGTAACTCGCTTTTTTGATTTTTTTTCCAAAAAGTGAACTTTATGCTAATGTTTTTGAAAGTTCAAGATCCCAATACAATTCTAGAATAAATAAAATTTATTAAATATTATTCAATTGTTTTAAAGAAAATTTTAAGAATTACCTGTTTCATCACAGTTAAAAACAGCATTTATCATAATTTTTAATAATTTCACGCAAAAATTTTTTTTCTTCATCTAATGTTTCTAATGGTGTATTTTTTACTTTACCCTATTTAACATATTCTTTTAAATTGTTATATTATTTAAATTTATTAATCTATCCATTAGAAGCTGTAAAATTATTAATTTCAAATTATTATACAAAAAATTTAGTTTTTATGTATAATATCAGTATTAATAATAAGTTCTGTAGCAAGTATATTAGTTATCCATAATGAAAGAGTCTCTTCTACTTGAGAAAAACAAACAGGCTTTTTCCTCTATTTATTTGCTTCTTCTGAATCTGGATTTATATTCAGCTACTTATCCTTTTTTTTTAAAATATCAGAAATAGTATTTGTTTAATATTATATAAATGGCAAGTTCATCTTAAGTAGATCATAGTGTTTTTTGATTGTCTAAATAGAATTATCATTTTTGTGCATGTGTTAAAACAATTTATTTCTTTATTTGAGAAATATCTTGAATTGACTTTCTTTTTTCTTGAAGTTGAAACATGATTTTAAATGTAAACAAAAATGCATTATGACAATTATCACAATTTAAGTAATGTATTATTTTAGTATAACCTAAAATATTAGTACATTATATATAATATTAATTATAAAAGGGTAAAAGAAAAGTATCAGTATATGTTACATCATGAAATTATATATAATATCAGTACAATAAGATTTTTTTATTAATTATGAATCAGATCATGAAAAATTTATTAGTATGTGCAATTATCAGTACATAGGATATCGTTACATTGAGGTCTGATTATATTTTAAAAATTTTTGATGTTATTCAAAAATATTTTTCTTTTTGTATTTTATTAATATTATCAAAAAATTTTTATAGAAACTTAAAATTATGAATATATTTTAATCCATTATCTTTTTTTGTAATTTTACATATTTAAATTTTTTTTAATAAATTATCATATGCATTATTATTTTTAAATAATGTTTTATGTTTACTTTTTAATTGTATTATATCCTATATATATTAATAAAATTAAATAGTTTCTTTTACTAAGTTATAATTTTTCTAAATATTTATCTACTATATATTTTAATTATAAATTTATAAGTATACTTGTAAACTGAAAAGGTTTGATTTTGATAATAAAATATACCTATCTGTATTAATTACTGCATAACTTGAACTCTTCTATTATTATATTTTTATTAGCATCAAGAAGATCACAATATTCTAATATCTTATCTTTTTTTATGTTATTATATATATTTTTATATATTTTTATGCTTTAACAAAACTTTTAATTATTTCTTTTTTAAGCAAATACTATATAAACTTTTTGCTATTATAATCATAATTGATTTTAGATTCTTTCTTATTAATTATATATTATATATTTGAATCTTATGCAAGTATAGTTGACTTTGAATATAATAAACTTGTTTATACTAAAATCTTATTATATTAAACCATGTATTACAGAACTGATTTTTTATAATTGATCAGACTAAATATAATGAATTTATTATATACTATATCTTAACTAATCTTAACATAATATGTATATTAAGTCATATATTTAATAAACTAAACTACCACATAATTTAAAAATTTAACATATGAAATTATGTAATTAAAAATAATACATTATAAATCATATAATATGTAGATAATTTTATTTTGCTAATATGATAATCTTTTTATATAAATACTGTTTAAAAAACTAATATTAGTCTTGTATAGTAATATTAACTTTTAATATAATAAATTAATAAATTTTATTATTATAAAATGATCATATGTCTATATTTTTTATTAATCAATTTTATATATCAAACAGTTTAATATAAAATATGATTATTATATAATGAATTTACTTTATATCAAATATTCTAAAATAGCAGGATTGTTATATCTAGAGATAACTATAGTTTGTACTTATCAACATTTAATTTAAAATACATTTTTTAATAGAATTTATATATAATATTAAATTTTTATAATTAAAAAGATTGTGATTTTTTGCTAAAGAAGTATAATTAGTAATAATTTTTTAAAATATATTTTTTCAATTCTGAAGTTTTCAATTATAAATATCTCATAAAGTTTTTATTTTCAAATATAAATTTGTAAAAATAAGAATAACATTATCAATTATATAGTTATGTATTTATTATCACCTAATAATAAATTTTTTTGCTTATATTAATCATATTAAAGTTATCAATAAGATTTTTAATCTTACGTGCAATTAAAAAAATATAAGTTAGAATATTTTATATTTTTAATAAAAAGGTCAATATAAAAAAAATATTTTGTAATTCATATTGTATCAGTTTTTTCTTTTAACTCAGATTTTATTTTTAATCTAAGTTCTTATATCTTTTTTTTTTCTAAATCTAAAAAAGATAATATATATAAGATAATGTAAATTTCTTGATTGAAAAGTAAACTATTAAAATATACTTATTAGTACTAAAAAATAAATATACTAGGTAATAGTTTCAGAAACCATTGTTAAGTCTGAAGCGAAAATTATTATAATTTGTCACATAATAAGTATATAGTGAATTTTGCTGCTAATCAAAAGTGCATTTCTGATTTACCGTTTATTCAGAATTCATTCAATTACAGAAATTTAATTGAATTCCATGGTCTGTATGATTGGCAAATCAAGAATGCACTTCTGATTAGCGACAAAATTCACTATAAGTATTATAAGTAATAATACTTTAAAATTGATATTAGTAAAATCAAATGCAAGAGATTTAATTATTTTCTTAGTTAATTCTAATTCATATTATGTATACTTTTTATAAGTTTCTTGAATAAAATATTGAAAAATGGTTATTTTCTATAATAGCAAGATAGCGCAACAAATAAAATATTAATGTTTTCTTTATTGTCTTGTGATGGCAAAGTTTTTTTTTATATTTCTTGTGAAAGCGAAAACATAAAATTTTTTTTTCAAAACAAAAATAAAAAAGTTGATAACGCGACAAAAAAAATTTTTTCTTATCCTTGTTTTTTAATAATTGTATAATAATCGTGCAATCAAAAGAATTAATTACGTATCGACTCATAATATGAGCGGGCGGACAGACAGACACTGGGTTTAGACATATATATTTCTTCACTTCGCTTTAGACTAACTAATGTTTTATAATTTTATAACTGATTTTTTAACATTTGTTAGAGATTATAAATTATTTTTGCTTTATATAAAAGTTCTAACTATTGATATTTAACAAATTTTAATATAAAATTACATATTTTTCTTTTAAAAATGCTTCTTTAATAAAATTGAAATATTTTACTTTAAAAATAAATTAATGATATGAATATTGAGATATTTAATTTATCTTTTATAAATAATTTTGTTTTTTACTAAAAATAAGAACTTTTAACCATTCTGTTATAATTTATTATATATTTTAAGAAAATTTTATTGAAAAATAAATAATATAATATACAAAAACATTTGAATTAATATTAAATTTAACAATCTATTAATTTATTTCAAATCTTAAAATTTTTAATCTCAAAAAAATTAAATAAAGATACTTTATTTATAATTAAATTAGAAAAAAAAACCAATCTAAATTATTTATTCTATTTTTACTATTTTTAATTTTTAATTTTTATAAAATATAAAAATATATAAATATATATAATAATTAAATTTACATAACATCAAATTTACTTCTATCAACTTTCTTTCTTTTTCTTGAAGAATGAATTGATTGAGTTGGACTTGATAAAGTCAAGTTAGAAGAAGTGATTGTTTGTGAATTAAAGGTATTTATCATAATAGGTTTATTACTATTAATACCTATGGATTTCTATTTTTAAACAAAAAAAATATAAATTACTTTTCAAACAAAAAAAAGAAAAAAATTTTAATGACATTAATGCATACCTTTTTCTGTAAAACGTATTCATAAGATGCTAAAGAATTGGATACTAAAAGATTATGAGGAAACAACTGATTCAAAATCTCTTCTATATCATTATTACTAGGCCAAAGGTTAAGAGACATATCAGTCATATAATCAACTAGTCTATGAGTTTCTTTTTCACTTTCTGCTTGTAATATTCTTTGAATAAACCTTTTCATAGCAATAATAAATGAATCGGCAGGAATTTTTTCTTTATTTCCACCATCGAAATCAATAACATTATTAAGATCTTCCTTCATCCTATCTGTTAGATCATCCTTGAATTTCCTATCAACATATTGAATCATGATGTCAGCAACCTGTTCTTCAATTATTTCATAAAGTGATACGATATGTTTTAATTTAATTTCGTAACACACGATATTCTTGAATCTTGTATTTTCTGATAATGATGATAGTTGAATCCATTGATCTATAAATTCGCTGAGAAGTAATTCCCCATCTCCAATAAAAGATCTATTAACGAAACAGAGTAAAATTTCCAACAAAGAAAGTAATTCGGAAGAATTGTCTTTTGAAAGTGTTAAATGAGTTGAAATTGCTTGCTGACCAATTATAAGAGATATCATATCAGAAGGAATCGGTTCTTGAGGAATCAATGATTTAATCTCACCGAGCAAACGCATTGAAGAAGAGAACAATTCCAAATGATAAGGGAAAGGATCTAATATCAATTGTTCATTACCAACCCCTTCAAAATAAGCTTTATTATAAACCAGGGCATTAGCCAATTCACTTTCAATTCGTTGTAAATCGTAAATAATATCCTGACCTTTTCCTACACCCAAAATTCTTTGAGAATACTGTAATATGTCGTCATTCCATTCATAGATGATAAAATTACTTTCGACTGCACGTTCAAGTTTCATGGTTTTAACGATATAAGGGGCATCATCAATTGAAGTAGAATCAATATCATCCCAAGAAGGTGATTGTAAGAATTTAAGAGAACCACAGGATCCAGGTGGTATTGACATCAATCCTTCCAAGAATTTATTTTGAATATTAATCAAGTATTCCAAGATGGCGCAAAGATAAATCCCCTCATCTTTTCCTTCCATCAATCCATAAACAACACTTTCTTTAAAAGAAATTTGTGGTTTCTCCTTAGGAATGTCATGACATTGGTATCTTTTAACTTTATAAATTATGGTGTTATAAGCATTTCGAAATTCGACAAATGATTTACAAAGTGAATTATAGGTATCTGAATCTCCATTTGATGTCTGTTTAATAAATTCTTCAAAGGTTAATGTTTTAGCCTTCTCCCTTGATAATTTGTAACCCAACCTATTGCTTAGTAATTGAATAAATTTGACCATTGGATAAAGATATTGAACCAAAGGTAGTTCTTTTGAGTGTTTGAAGAAGACCTTAAGGAAGGGATATTTGTGAATATGGGTCGGATCAGATATATAATAAGCTCTAAAACTATCATAATCAATTCTACCAATGATCCTCCACAAAGCAGGTAAATTTTCATTTAAATACTTGTCATCCATCGTATTAGTTTGATTAATTTCTTCCTCTAATAAGGAATTTTTTACGTCGACTTTTTTCATATTTTGATCTAATTGAGCACGAAATCTAGCCGAAGATTCATTTACACTACGAGTAAATGGAAGTACACATGTTTGAGTAAACATTGTTTCCCATTGATCTCTATCGTTAGAAGTGTGAAGCGTTGAATTGTATTGTGGGGGATTTGTGGTAAGGTTTATTATGATCGAATGAAATGTTAGAGCCAACTTTTCGCAGGAACAATTCAGAATTGTCTTTAAAATTTTCCAATCATTTTTAATATGTTCCATACAATAATCTTCTACATTGGTATAATTCTTATTATGTTGTCGAATGAAAGCGGTGGCGGGCGGAGAAGGAGCCAGAGAGCCGATAATAGCGTGAACAATTAGGTGAAGAATTCTATAAGAAACCGGAGGCATACGTCTTGTGGTATGATTAATGTCTTTATCAGGACTTTCTGAAATATACCCTCTTTGATCCTTTGATTCAAATTTATTTGTACTTACAGCATCGATCCTCATATTACCGGATGCCGCAACATGCTTCGATCCTCCAATCTTTTTTTTGCATTCGGGACATTTACTTTCGATCCAAGCTTGACCACATTCCCCGATTAGATATTTGTAACCACATTGACAAGCATATCTTGATACGATATCGCTTTCCGCTATAGCGCTAAGTATGATACTTTCAATATCCGATTGACATGTTAACACAAAAGTATTTTGAGCATCTCCAATTCTATGCATATACATGGATAATGGGGTGGCTTGTGGCTCAAGCAGTGTATGTAATCCAATTATATGAGCCAAAACCGATTTCATTAATAATTCATCATTTGAAATTCCTTGATTAATTTTTAATAATGATTGCGTGTTCGCTAAAACATTTAGAATGGTCGCCTTAACCTTCTCTGGGATGGTGGTTAAATTAACAAGTCGATTACTAAATTGTTGGGAAATGACTCTCTCATTCTGATTCCATTCCCTTGAAGCTCTAATCGAATGGAATTTGGACATTACGATTCCAAATAATAATAATTTGTTTGATAGATTTGGCAACTTTTCATTATATTGTTGGAAGATTTGGTCAAATTGAGTTTGATTATTACTATGATAAAATAATGTGTATGCAAGTTCTAATTTGCCATAATCCGGTATGGCCCAATAAGGATTAAATGGTAATCTATTGTCATCTTTATTATTCGCATCAAAATTGTTGAACCAACTCAAATTTTTCGATTGAGCATCACAGAATTTCTTAATATCGTCACTTGAAAATTCTCTATTAATCCGCAACTCCCTTAATAGATACAATTTAAATGCGTGAATTAACGGGTGAGCCATCGTCAATATAAGATTTAACTGTTCCACTAATGTCGTACCATCGAAATCTTTGGCATCCAACAGATTATACGTGATGGGTTGAAGAAAATCATCCTTTCGTTTAATTAAGAAATTCCAGAACCGACTGGTGAATTCTTTAAGGAATGCGATTGAAGCGATACGTTGTAACGGTTCAACATCGTTTCCGTATAATGAATTGATTGCCGAATTAAACCCATTGCTCAGTGTGTTCAAGCCTAATTTTGAAAAGAATCCTTGCTGAAGAACATCACAAACCAACGTGGACATCATTGTACTCAGCCTATTTATATCAAAACATTGGTTGATGATGTGAAGCCTCCCTGAAGATTGTAGAGTTTGTTTTGGTTGCGTCACAAGTTGCAAGAAAATATCTGGGTTTTCATTTTCTTCAATCTTAAATATTCGTAATATGATTGCCCCCATAAGCGGGAATGGTGATGAGGAAAATAATATTTTATAGAAATGAAGTCTAACCGGTGATTCTAACGTGAGCATATCAAGGCTTCTTAATACAAATAAACGCCTTGGAATTAAAATCTTTTCGGAAGGTTCAAATTTATCAAATGTTGAAATTACTATGTTAATAAATTCTTTTGAAATCAAATCACCCTGTAATTCAATGTCAGAAGAAGCAATCTTTTGGTGTTGAGCGTAATTAATAATCTGTTTAATATTTTCTAATGGGATGGATTTGGTTATCAAGATATCATCACAAATTCGAAGTAATCGTAATGAATATAATTTAGAAGTCACGTTGATCTTTTCACATAATGATAACACTTTGGTCACTTCATATTGCCATTTTTCAAGTATGAACTTATTCTTTAATCTCTCTCGATCCTTCGTGGTGGTGATCCTATATAAAAGATCTTGTATGACCTTTTCAACAAGATATTTCTCAAAACCAACATCGGATAATAAGTTATCCTCATCATTTTCTCCCTCAATTTGTATGATGATGTCAGGGATCATTTTAGCCAAAGCCAATTCGGCGAGAATGGAAGAACTATGTTTCCAAAAATATGAATGAAGTTTAATAGGATTCAACACATTTTCGACACCCAACCTTCTCTCAAAAATGAATTTTAATAATCTTTCATCGATGCCCTTGTCCATCTTTTCATTGATATTATTGGATTCGTTGGTCAATATGACGCTAATAAAATCTTTAAAGTACTTATTGGGAAAGTTGGCGATGGGAGAATTTTTAATAATAGGACTTTTTTCAATGTTACTGATGAATTTCTTATTATAATCTTCCACTACGTGAGAATATAATTCTCCTGTTGTTTGATCCACGTTCTCTTTATCATTGTGTAAGGATGCTAATTCTTCTTCATAAATCCTTTTCGAATCATCAATTTTTTTCATGATATACGATGAAAATGGAAACTCCAATTCATATATTCCGTGTGACATAGTATAACCGTCGGGTGATGGTTCTTTTGTATTTTCTATTGAAATAATATTCTCATCATTGACCATCATGTGCCAAAATTCTAATAAATAAACATCATCTTTCGTCATGATTTCGTCCGAAATGTCATCCTCACTTGCACAAAGACTTCTATCATATAAAAGAATGATGGAGTGAATCGCTGAATGTCTTTCAAGGGCGTATAATAATTTGGCAATAGGTTGGCGTACAACGCTTCTAATACGAGTCAAGAGCGCGTTAACAAAGGAAGAGTAAGGGTACAACAATTTTTTGTTGGACGCGATTTCATATTGCCAATTGGTGTTTTTAGGATATCGCTTTAACCATTCTATCGTTCGAACCTTTAATAAATCAATCAAGATTTGATTCTCAAAAATTTTTTCGTTAAGCATTTTAATATGTTGTACAGATTTAACATTTGAAGGATACTTGATACATAATAAACACCATAATAATTCTTGCTTCAGGATCTCTTCGAATGGATATGTTGACGTGATTAAATCCGATAAGCTATCATTCAAAAGTAATGACAGTTTCTTATCTTGCGGTAACAAAGATTCTATAGTAACCTGATCCCATCCGCACATAAAATTAAATGATGCCATAGAATTTTCTTGTTCCCTGTGAATGTGTAAAATGATGCATGTATGCTTAACAGGAAGGACCTCCTGTGATTGTTTTCCTTTTGAGGGGGATGAATGTTGTTGTTGTAACAATTGTAATTGACGTTTCTTCTTTTGTAAATACTCTTTACGATATTGTTCCATTAAGAATTTAGCCAATTTGATGCACCCCGCACTAACGATCGTAACGTCACATTGTAAAATTAACATCGCATCTCGAGATTCCATCCAGAAAGATTTTATTCTATTTTGAAATTGAGATTCCGTTTTAAACGTTGATAATTTATCTACTTGACAACTAACCACATCTTTCAGGCATGATTTAATATCCGTGTTGATATTTGAAAAAGTATTAACAATGATTTGTAATCCCATATCCTTTTCATCAAAAACATTCTCTTCATGAAATTTATCAAGACGGTATTGAATATGATCGATTAAGCTATCATGATGTTGTTGATTGAAATAAATATTTTTCCATTGTTTGACTTCCGCCGCGCCTAACTTTGATCTTTCGGCTCTAATCATACCGTCGGAGGAAGCAATTTTGATCAACTTTTCCTTGCATTTTAACAAAACTTCCTCATTGTCATCATCGGGAAAACTTTTCCTAATATCGATAACCAAACTTTGTAAAGTCTCACTTTCATCAAATCCGATGAATAAATCCTTTTGTTTAAATTTTTTCAGGTTAAAATTAATATTGTGATTATTGTCCGTTATGGTGGAAATGAATCCGGTCCATTCTTTAAGTTCTTCCACCAGTTCATTTTCTTGTGAGGTCAATGTATCACTCATGACCATCCTTTGTTTTTCAAATCTATTTAATAATGGTGGATCCGCCTTTTCTAACTTATTTTCATCCATCACTAATATGCATCTAAAAGTTGGCGCCACATATAACATTGGATTGGCATACGCGCCAAGTGCTACTCTGGTATAAAATTTTGGATCGTCTTCGCTACCAACCACGATATAATTTTGATTCCACAGATCATACAAACTTCCTGCATTATTGAAACAAATAAGATAAATTAAATACAAAATATAGACTTTTTTAAAAAGAGAAATAAAAAATTCCTTTAAAATGTAACAAACTCACCATAAATAATTTCTAAATCTGTTAAAATCAATGGTTTACCGGTTTCAACACACATCATGATTCGATTTAAAACGCTATAAGAATAATCATCCTGATCTTCAGGAAATTGTGATCCAAGGATTACAACGGGATCTAAATTTTCTTTCCTTAATTGATAATTTAATAAATTAACGATGCTATCACTTTTACCAATAACCATCAAATGTCTCGCATCTTTATCATCTAAATTCGCGCCAATTAATTGCCATATCGGTATCGATTTATAATGATATTCTTTTGATGAATTAAAATGTATCATCACTGGACCAAAATAATCTTCAATTAATTCTTTGTTGTTATCCGCACCACCAAAATTCCTTATCAATGCCATTTGTATATTCTCGGGTGTCAAACTATTATTTTGTGATAAACTTTTTACTAACGAATAGTAATCCCTTAATCCATGGAAATTTGGTAACTTGTTTTGCCCCTTTATTTCATAATCCAAATATGATCTTGCTAATAATTTTAATGATGATTCTGTTATCTGCGAATTCTCACTTTTTATAAGTAATCTCTTTGCCGTATCTGTTAAATCAGCTAATTCAAATTTTGGTCTTTGAACCAATAATGCTCTACTACTTTTACTGTTGTCTAAACGCCAATTTGAAATGGCCACGCAAGAAACTTTTGGTTCGGTATCAGGATAACTTGGTTCTAGTAACGAATGCAACACTTTTAAAGGATTGAACGGACTTTTTTCGGCCAATCCCACTAAAAAAGATGCGCAAGCATAACTTTAATAATAATTAAAAATAGAGAGAAATGAATTTTTAAGAAAACTTTGTATACCTTCGTCAAGTAATACGACACTGATAACCGGAAATTCCTCCGAACTTGTATCTTGAAAATTAGCGGCCTTTTCAAATACCTTTAATATACCCTCAGAAGTTGAAGAGGAAGAACCTTGATGCGGAATTAAATACACTTGAGGTAACTTTCTAAAATATTCATCATTTGAATCCGATCCTCGAAGATTCTGACTTATGAGTCTCACTGCTAAAGACTTTGAGGAGCCAGGCGCTCCGATGATGAAACAAGGGGTTTTGGTCAAGATGCATACGATCATGACTAAAACATTCTCCAACAACGCTTCATTCTTTGCCGTATTAGGTGGACATTGCATTCTATCCACGTAATCATCTTGTTCTTCCCTTAAAATTCTGCTAAATCGATCTTCATTAATATTATTGATCTTATGTTTTTTAAAAATTTCTCCCATCTTTTTTCTGTAACCTTTTCTTAACCTTTGCTCATATAATCTTGATTGATAACATAATCCCAACGCGAGAACATAGGAGCGTACATTAATTGAAATATCACTAGATACAGGATATTTTTTAGGTTTTTGATCATACTTTTTGATAGGTGGACGACCTTCGAAGCTCTTTATAAAGAATTTTACGAGTGTAATAGCACGTTTTACGTCACGTAAACTAACGCTATAAGATTCCTCACATTTTCTGATGAATTCTTGTGATTCAAATAAACATTCGGATAATACAAGGTGCCCAAGTTCTTTTAATTGCTCTTGCACCATAATTTCAATATATTTTCTTTCTTCAATTGGTTTAAGAATACCATAATCCCAAACATAATCTAGAATTTGATCAGGCAACGGATGAACTTGATAAACCAGTTTGCTTGTCTCTTCAAATCGTACATCTGTGTGTTTTAATAATCCTGCCGTGGTCGCCGCCTTGGTGCGTATACGATATGGATTACATGCCGCAAAAAGTCTTATGTTACTATGAATAGGCTTTCCGTTTAACATCCTATGAGCAATCAGGTCGGCGAGTAATCCGATATGATTACAAGTATTGATCTCGTCAAAGAATAACCAAACCTCCCCTTCTTCAACTTTTCCTTGGGAATCTTTCATGAACTTTAAAATGATTTCCTCCGTAATACCAGCATGAAGATTCAACGCGTGAAATTTCACTTCAACCACTTTCGCTAGGTAACCGATCAAACTTGTCTTTCCGCATCCGGCTTCACCACAAACGATTACCGGGATACTGGCACGAGCTCTTAATAAAATGAGAGCCATCTTAATAAGATTATCGGCGGAAAGGGCGTATGGTGGGTAATCAATTTTATGCATGGTCTTCCTTGCCAAATTTTCCAATATGGATAATAAGGATTTAGGATCCATCTTATTATAATCATCCAAATCCCATGAATTTTTATCCCCGATATATTGACTTTTTAATAGGGTTTTGACATTCTGAGGTACTCGTGATTTATCCCTATATAAAGCACAGATCGAATCCGGAGTTTGTGATAAGAAGAAGACCAATAAATGATTCGAGTCATCCCATTGTACAATAGTTCCGAGGAGTGCATTCTCATCAAGGATATCATTTTCTTTGATCGAGATATTTCCTTTTTGTGCCCTTTTGGTCGCGATAGATTTGGTAGCGAAATCTTTTGATACACTTAATAAAGTTTGAACAAGCGTACTACGAATGTTTTGTTCTTCCACCATGAGCCTTAAATTTTCAACATGAAAGTATGAACTTGATGACAGTCTAACCAATTGTTCGGCAAATACGTTAACAAAGATTTCAATGAATCGAAATGATAAAATATCTTTTGTTTCATATGACCCCCTTTTATTTTTCATGAAAAGATAATCTTCAATTAACCTTCTACATTCACTCTCAGGCAATGGTTTTAAATCTGAACTTCCTTCCCCCGTCTTAAAATAAATATCTCTTTCGTTTATTGCAGCTTGTTCACTAAGTGCTTTCAAGTAATGACAAGCCACTTGAATTGGACTACTTATCTCTTGAGAAACCACAAATTCCTCTATGTCCCAAGTTAAATGTTTATGTTTAAGGTATCCCGCCATCGGTATAGATTTAAATAAACGTTGTCCAATCGTGGAAGCCACTTCAATGAATATAAATGTATCAGGAAGGATCGCTACGTCCATATTAGAGAATACAATTCCTAAAGTTATAAGTTCAAATAAGAACATATTAATCGTATTGGCATCTTCAGCCTCGTTAGCTGATACAATATTTAAATGTAAACTTTCAAAAGATCGCATCTCAAATCCTTTAAACTTATGAACCAGCGTTCCAAAATTAACTTTGTCGCTAATGAGGAAACTTTTTGGAATTAACCTATTGGAAAAACTATCTTGTCTAATCTTTTCGGTTTTACCCTGTCCCGATAGATCCGAAGAAATACTACTAACTTTTGGACACTTTTCATGGTAAATCATTTTCATCGCCTCTCCGCTTAATCCGATTGTTGCGTGGACATCTTGTGAGAATTGATCTAAAATATGATGATGTACGTCAGGTTCACGATAACAGATCAAGGCCAATTGAAATTGATCATGCCTTTCGCGCATAGACCTAATAAGGTTTACTAGATTATATTGCAATTCAAAATCTAATAATTCTAAATTAGCGAGACAGAACAAAACACCCGTGTATCCATTCTTATTTGCAAAGAAACACCTTTTAACAAAAATTGCAAGTTCTTCCATAGTTGTAGAAATCGTACATATTAATATTTGCCATGGTAAAGGGTAGTATCCGTGATTCACATATAATGACATGATAATGTTTGGAACAAGGGTTTTATCATCACATGCGGCGACAAATAATTTTCCGGGATAAACTACATCCGAAATTACGCGCTCTTTAATACTCCTGAATTTATTTGCCTCTTTAGGAACCTTTCCAAATATTTCTTGCAAATTTGTACCAATCTCCCCAAGAATTTGATCGTAACTTTTATTGGCATAGATGTTGACATTGGCTTTTTTTGGCTTTATCATTAACTTTGGGTTGTGTATTTGTTTTGGTGGTGGCGTTGGTGGCGATCCTTTTGGAGGCAATTTAGCTTTACTATTGACGAATCGGATTAATTTTTCACATTCTTCAATATTAACGTTCGACTTTTCTTCAAAGCTGAAATAATCAAGGAATGTCAAAACATGCCGAGCCGGATAAAAGGTTAAATAATAATAGTCTTCCTGTGCCGCATTCACGATTTTTTCCCTAAAAAAAAAAAAAAAAGCAAAGTTGCTTTAACAAGTCAATCAAAACATATATCAAGGCCCAATTAGTAAAGAAGAGTAACTACCATTCTTTTAAGTCTTCTTTTAAGTCAAGAACTGCTTGTTGCATATTTTCAACACCATTAATTTGTCGACGAAATGCACGATAATGAAAATGACCTGTTTGAATAAGCTTCGTAGCCAAATTAATAATTTCTTGTGCCATATCTACTTGAGTAACGAATACATCCATGATAGGTTTGGAAATTTCTTGTTCGACTGCCCACGGAGCGTTACTAGTTGCGATACCAACAGGTGTCGAAGGTTTTGAAATTAAGAGCGCGCGTCCACGCAAGTCGTGCAATTCGGTCAAGGTATAACTTACGAGTCCGGAACTCACTGGATAAGATAAAGTAACCTTACACGTATCTCCCTTATCATCACGTTCAAAGGTGTAAGTCCCTTTCCGGACCGCGTTTCTGATTTTTTCTTTTGTAACCTCTCCTTTATTTTGAATAGAATTATACAAGTTTTGTAACGCCATATTGTGACTATTGCACAACGCTACTTTGTTTCCAAGTTTTGAACTCTGCTGAGTTATAGAGTTGATTTTATCCAAAAATACATCAAGTGACAATTTTTCTGCCGCTTTTAGTAAAGGAAGTAAAAATTGTTTGACTTGGATAAGAGAAGAAACTGTATCTTCTTGTATAAGTCGTTCATCTGATGATTCATCTACTCCATTAATCAAATTTTTAATATCATGTTCAGCGATCTTTTGGAGGAAAACAATGAAATCACCGGCCAGTGAAATTTCTCTAATCAGAACCCAACAATCTTCTTCGATTGATCCAAGATGTTGATTAAATATCTCGAAGAAGCTGACCAATCTTCCTAACCAGAGGTAATCACCCCGAAGAATTACTTGTAATCTCCCAAGCCAATCATTTTGAGTATGAGTGACCTTAAACATTATTACAACGGTAGTTAATTGCTGAAGCCTCTCAATTTGTGTTGGAACCGAAGCAAGATATGCGAGCGTTTTAATTAATATTTGACTTTTTTCCGTTTGAATATCCATCATACTTAATTCCTTTTCGACATTTGTGACATTCTTCCAAAGATCACTTCCTTCTGAACATTTGAGTTTCTCCCACTCTTTGTATTGTCGACATGATTGATCATATTGCTCAAATACCGCTGGCATCAAGATTTGCGCTACATTTTCAACAGTCAAATCAACTTCTTCCGATTTCATCTTGATATCAAAAATATTACGGAACGTACGCGAATTCGCTATCCTATGTGCACGTCTAGAGCTATTCATGTTTTTCTTGTGGATCCCCCAATGATTATCAGATAAAGCATCTTTAAGCGCAAGATACTCCAAATTATTGTTACGATTGGTGATATCGTCGAGAAACTTTTGAACATCTTTAACTTTATCTATTGGGCAAAAACGATCATAAAACGTTCTTAATTGATCCATTCTCAACAAATATCCATGACAATCTTTTCGATGTTTTTTGATCAAATCTTTGCTGATGACCTCCTTGTTGTTTATTGAAAAATTAAAAAATTGATGCAAGATGTCGGTATCATATTTAAGGATCTCGTTTAGTGAACGTAACGTTATGTCCTCTCCGATCATTACCTTGGCAAATTCATGAATGTATCTTTGAACTTGCTTAACGTAAGGATGTGAATACAACTTTTCAACGCGACCTGTTGCGTTGAAAATTAATCTCCAAAATCGAAAAGTGTTAAGTAAATTTAAGATGGTAGTTGATAACTTGGTGTGATCCTTAACAATGTCACCTTTGGCCTCTAAATTCGTCATCACACTACACACGATATCTTCGCTTAAGCTTAACGAATAGAAGAACGAGGATTGTTAAAATTGATGAATTATATAAGAAAGCTCATATTTGAACGAAAAAGAACAAAAGTCAGCTCACTTACGCGCTTTGTATATCTAGAATTTCATTGTCACAGCCGCATACTTGTAACAAAATTTTTATCAGGTTATTATCTATTTTGTGCACAGATTTCCTTAACATGGTCTTGACCATTTCTCCATATGATACAGAAATTTCTTTTTCCAAAGTTGCAATTTGTGGTGTGACACTCAAGATATCAGACACAGCACAATTCATAACATGATCAACTGTAACTTTCAACATATCATTAAAGATATTTTCGTACTTTCCAACTATCGGGAAGATGTCTGACAAGTTCTTATAAATTGCAAAGATGAACTTGGAATCATTAGAATCATGTAAATCAGATCCATTGATAAGCTCGATTAAATGGAAATACCAGTTTCTACAAATCTCGGGAAGCTTGTTTGTTTTTAAAGTTTTAAATCTGGAATCAAACCAATAGTTCAATAGAGGTGGAAAAGTTAAAAGTAAATTATGCTTTGATGATTGAGAAACACGTCCCATGGCTTCTAAAAATTCGTCCTTGGACCAATCGAGTTGAGGATCCTTGAGAATTTGAAGAATTGCTTCCGAGTTATTTTTATCCCATTCGATACTACGATGTTTAAGCAATAACAAGGCTTTCGCTTTAAATATTTCTGCAACTTCTACACAAAGTTCCTCAGGAATGAGTGAAAATTGGTTTGCCAAAAGTGTCGCGCGAGAAGATGAAACGAGTTTGTCAACGCGAGGACGAAAGTGTCTAAGAAGATGAAAATCCCGATCTTTCGTATGATCGATGACATCCATCCAAACAAAAAGAAGGGTCTCGAAGGAATTGCAATTGGAAAATAACCACTAGAAAAGGGAAAAATATAAAATGATTAGATTCATTTATTGTAGTAAAAAAAAAATAAATGTTTCAAAAAGTAATTTACCCTTCCGATATTAGAATAAATGTTCAAGTCTTTAATTTGATTTACAACAGGCTTGGCGTGTTTGATAAATTCCTTTAGGAAATTCTTAACACGATCATCAATATTGTTGTAACGAAGTTCTTGAATCGCGTCAATAAAGGTGAATTTTGGATCGATAATCCTTGCAATCTCAAATAGTTTTAACCAATCAAAAGATCTATTGTCAACATTTAACTGAATCACAGCCGTCATCGTAACGCTTAAAAACGAATAATGTTCCTCAGGAAATGTATCCGGTTGAAAATTTTCTAAAGTGTCAATAATTTGAGCTATAGGAAATTTATTTGGCAATTTAAGTCGCCCAAGAGATTCTTTCTGCCTCCAATTAAGAAAATGTCCCAAAAGAAGACATAAGAAAATCCGTTTTTCATACTCCTTTGGTTTTGTCTTCACAAGATTGCTTTCAATAAATTCAAATTGTGAAGCGCGTAGGGTCAATATTTCAAAACGATTAAGAAGGTCTTGATATTCTGATATCTTTTCCTTAAGATTAGTTGAGGATATAGTATTATAAACGAGATTCAGAAACGCGAAATCTCTAATATTGGTTAGTTGACAGGATCGATTTTTAACTTTAAATCTTTCCACCACGTCAAACTGAAATCCATTTCTCATACTCAAGATTCTTGGTGATTTACCTTCATCTTCGAAATAAAGATCTCCTTCTTCCTTATTCCTCGTATCTTTATGCTTCTTATCCGATTTCGTTTCTTTATTTTTTTGATCCTCAATGCTATCTTGCCCATCTTTTGCGGAAGGATTCTCCGTTGTTGACGTATCATTGGCCTGAGTTTTAGCAGTCTCATTCATGAGATCGTTTCCATCTTCCCTCATATTGAGTTCATTTTTATTCTTTTTACTATCATTAGAACTAGATTCATTTTCAGCATCCTTGACTTTTTTCTTTTTGTCGACGGATTCATTCTTGTCCTTTTCAGCATCCTTGCCTTTTTTCTTTTTGTCGACGGATTCACCCTTGTCCTTTTCATCATCCTTAGACTTGTCACCTTTTTTAAATATAGAAGTAATTCCTTTTGATTTTTCTTCGGGTTTTGGTTTCGGAACAAAGAACGCATATCTATACCTGATCTCATTCTCAAACCTATCATTCTGTATAGAAATGGGATCCGAGTACCAATGACTATAATTTGAGTGCATGTGTTCACGTTCACTTTTCAATTGCTTTAATTTAACGATCGGTTCTTCCCAATTACCTAATTCCTCAATGTTACCAATGATAACCGGATAACCTTCCACATAATTCAATGAAGGTAAATGGACATGAAAAGTAATTTTAACGGTTGGTACATTTGAAACCTCCTCAACTTCTTTGGCAAAGAACGTTTTAATTCCTTTAAGTATTCCTCCTTTACTTGTATCAGGTTCCGCATTGGTGATCGAATCAGATTGTGAAGGTTGTTGGGGATCATGAAGTTTATTCGTATCCGTTGAACCAACATCAAGGTTCAAAGTTCCTTCGGATTGTTCCTGATGAATTAAGGTACCACTTCCCTCGGCATTACCCGATGAACTTTGATTTTCGGACGACATATTTCATAGAACGTTTGCTTCAATCATACAATGGTGAAAAATAAAAAAAAATTAAATAAAATATTTAAAAACAAAATCGATCTTATCCAAAAAAAAAAAAATAAATAAGGATAAGTTTCAATGATATGGAGTGAGGAATCTATCTATTGAGGGTAAAAAAAAAAAAAAATTATTATAAAAATGTCGCAAGGTCTTTTCATTGAAAAAAATTTTGATTTCCTTGAAAATAGCGATAGAAAAGAGAGGGAGTTTTTTTTTTTTTCATTGTTTACTTCCTAAATTAAGTTTTATATAATAAACTTATGTAAACGTGAAAATACCTCAAAAAAAAAAAAATACGCTCACTTGTCATGCATGTTTATTTGTTATTAAAATTTTCTATACCCTCCCTTTTGATTTGTCTTTAAATGGATAGTGTTTGGTCTATTTGGGTTTATTTGTCACTCCGATGCATATAATAAAAATACTCTTTTTTTAAAATAATGGGAATGTGGTGACACAATCATTCATCCATGAAATGAAAAAATTCATTTCAGCTTAGCCCTTTCTACAAATGAAATTTCCTTTTTTTAAATTAAAAAAAAAAAATTGGAAAATAGAGGAGAATGATGTAATGAAAAAAAAAAAAAAAAAAGATCGGTTACATTTTTATCCATTCTTGTAAAATGATTCTGAAAATCCAATCAAAAATCATGAATATCGTCGAATATCATGTAGAGATCAACTTTATTTTATTTTGTTTTTTTTTTTGATTAGGAAAAAAAGACAATGTGCGCTAATCGAATATCTCGTCGTGCAAGCATAGAAGAGTTTCTTTCATCATTACAACGTGAATTTAACTTAAACCCATCACGTCCTTTGTTTAAAATGACATATAAGCAACCTTCAACTTGGCCCATGTCATTATCAAAACCCGAACATAAGAAACCAATTCGCATCGCTGTATTGGATTCTTCTTTTAATCCACCCACAAAGGCTCATTTACAATTATTAATGAAATCGGTCACTAATATACATTTTCAAAATGATCAACCCGTAACGAGACATCAAATCAAAGAACAACCACCCGAATTCTTTGATGCCTGTTTGTTGCTCTTTGCAATTAAAAATGCGGATAAAACGGTTACATCATCGGATGCCAGTACCGTAGATAGATTATTAATGATGGAAGCCCTAGCTTCATATGTCCGATCAACTGCGAATTCTGACACGTATTCAGCTGCTTTACGGAATTTAGCCGTGGGCGTAACTACGCATCCGATATTTACAGATAAAGCTCGTGCGATCCAAACATCACTATCTAAATCTCCCGATCAATCATTTTCACTTTACTTTATTATGGGTTATGATACGATAATTCGATTTTTTAATCCGAAATATTATACAAATATGCGAGAAGAACTCGCTTCATTTTTTGAAACAAATAGCATTATTTGCGCAAATAGACAGGGTTATGGTGGAGAAGAAGCGGAGGAACAATTCTTTCAGAGTGAAATTTTTAAAGAGATTGTAGGAGGAGAAAATGACAAGAAAGTGATGAGGATAAAATTGGATGATGAAATCGCAAAAATGTCTTCAACAAGAGTTAGGGAAATTTTAATCAATATGAAAAATGAAGAAGGGGTTAAAGAACAACTATTAAAGTTGTGCCCTGAACCCATTGTTGCAATTGTGATTCAGGAAGGTTTGTATACAAAGTTATGAAGTTATGCTGAGAATCTCTGAACGTAAGAAAGTTGGAATCTTTCTTTAAGCAATCATGATTGCAACCAGAATTTGCTTTAAATTCTGGTAATTTAAATAATTTGATTTCTCATACCATTTTTAATAATGCTGCTGAAAATATTTTAAATGAAAAGTTGCTTAGAATTGGCAGTATTACAAATATTATATACAAATACATTATACATATACATATATACATTTTTCTTTTTATTTCAACTTGATCTTTTCCCTCATAACAATCCAAGATTTCAAGTCATACTCACTATCTTCAACACCTTTTGGTATCCTAATGATGTTACCGGATTTATTCACTTCATCAATTTCCCAGCCTCTGACCTCAACTTTAATATCCTTATCAGGAACAAGTTCCCAACCGTATATCATTAACGTAATTCGATTTTCTTCCTGAAAATTCAATAACCCATCCATCAGATAAAAGTCATGTTGTGAACAATCTCCATTTCCATAATACCTTCCAATCAATGTACCATTTAAAAAGATATATGATGTGAATGACCCAAATAAAACCAATCTCAATGGTGCGATTATAATCCCTTCGTATCTTTGATCAACGGGATGTCTAAAATTAAAACTCCACCATCTTATTCCATCATTTGGTATCACCCCGTATTCATTTACGCTCTTACTTTTCACCCATCCGGTTCTCTTATGTTCATCAGGAATACCGCTCGTGATGAACGGTATTTCTAACCCTCTCACGTCAACTCCACAAATTTCCCATTCAACTTTTGATCCACGCGATAACCCCGAGATTTTCGCCGAGATCAACCCCCTTGGATTGTGCACATCATTAAATATAACCGACTGTCGACTAATGCCCAAATTTTCAACCAATATCACTACGAAATTATCATCGTAATTTTTAACAAATTGCGTAATATCATATTTATTTCCTCCTAAAAATGTAAATATTTCGGGTCCATTTTTCGCCCCCGGAAAGAAAAAGTTCCTATTAAACGTCGTATGACCTCCTGCGAAATTTCCATTGACAAATATCGTGCATCGATGTCGCATGTTAATACTTAATTGTATTCTCTTATCCGACTTCACGGATGGAAAGCTTGTTCTATATAATACATGTCCCGATGTGTAATAATTTTCAACGGCCCCTCCATTTTTCAGTTCGATCGGTCGCCACTCCAGGTCCGAGAATTCCGTAACGCGTGTACTCCAATCAAATAATTCTGGGGTGGTATGTATGACCGATGATTTATCGCCTGCTGTAAGTTGTTTCTTATAAATAAATGGAAGTGGATAGGTCTGATTGGAATCTAAACGAATATCAATAGACGGTCGTTGTAATGATAATATGCTCACTCCCTTTTCGTACTCTCCGTATTCTATCTCCGCGGTGTTATTCTCGAAATCAAAATAAAAATTCTGCGTTCCCCAACTAACTATGGAAGGTGAATGAGGTAGGTTGACCGGTTTATTATGCGCTTGAGCCCAATGAGGTTCATCAAAAACCGCATGAAGCGTGCCAAGTGAATCATCATCTAAAGCTATGATGACGAGCTCTTTTGGATCTTCGGCATGCTTGACCTTTGCAAATCCTTTCCCACCATTAAATGATATTATATTTATGGAATGACCAACTTTCCTTATGGATGGTTGAAGATTTCCTTCGATATTGATTTCCCCCTCAAAAGCAAGTTCGCCAACATCATTGACTGGTATTATCCATATCTCCCTTCCCAAATCATCGTCACTTTGTGGGTGTAAGATCCTTAAGTGAATAGGAATCGAAGAGAAAATAAGTTTCAATCCTGTTGAGGTGATATAATTACCTAAAGCGATAAATGAACTCTTGTATGGTAAATAACATTGCATTGCGAATGTCTGTGTCTCTCCTTGGATCTCCGTATGATTAACAAAAAGTTGAAATTGATAATGTTTCTTTTCAGCAAAATTTCGAAGAAATGTAAATACAACAACGTTTCCTTGCCCACTTTGATCATTCACGGTTTGTCTCTGTAGATTGAAAACATCCTTGACTGATGCATTAACACTTGGAACGTCAACACGTTCGGTTCTTGCAAAAACATCCGAAAAACTTTGCGCAAACAAAAATCCAAGACGTAAATTTCGTAAACGACCAGACATGTAGCCAAATTCTCGTATACATGCGGAATAGTCATATGAAGTGTATCCATCACTAAAATGAAAATAAAAATGGATGATAATTATCCCGTTAAAAAGATTCAAAGATAAAAGACTAAACTTGTCATTTACGTGTCTCCAATCGTTCCCCAATTCGTTCCACCGTAAACCATATAAATGGAAAGCATAGTGCACCCCTGTGCCAGAACCGAATCATAAACGATTCGAGTGAAACGATCCCCATAGAAATTGTAAACATCATCAAAAGTATGATCCAACTTGTATGTTGTAAACCATCCACCTTGCAATTCTGGTATTAAAATAGGCGACTTTATCGAATCAATAAATTTAATAAAATATTGTTAGATGTTTGATACGCACGCTTGTCTGAAATTACAAAATCTCACATACTTTTGCCGCGTCGTGGCCAAAACCTCGTACTTCTTTTTCAAGATGATCCAATGCTTTCATCACTGCTTTAGGTGCCCAAGGATTCCATCTCTTTGGATCCTGTTCGATATTAAAATCAAATGGGACCGGTGCACTCGCCGGCACAAATACTTGTAGAAATGATCAAAAAAAAAAAACACTTAATATGATTTTTATCTATCTAATCTATATATATATATATATATATTATTTACCTACCTAAATACTTATCAAATCCATATAGATCCAAACCGAATGATTTTCGATTGAAGAAACTAGTTGATGGTTTCACATCGTATTCAGGTTTTGCAATGAAAGAACCTGATTCATCCGGGTCATTCGTAAATAAGGGAACCGTAATTTTACAATCCCTTGCCACCTTGCAAAGGAAGCGCATTTCATCATGTAAACCGAATGGAATTTTTCGAACTTTATCAAACAATTCATTTTCGATTTGAAGAGCGATAACGCAACCATCGGGTTTTTCGGTAATTTGATGACGCGCTATAATTGGTAAGATATTTTCGAACCAAGCCTTTTCATAGGCTGCGAAATAGTTGTCATACTTTTTAAATCCGGTGAATTTTATATGACGGATATTTTGCTTTTTGGAAGCTAACCAAATGGGAAATCCCCCGGCCTGCGTTTCAGCGCAAATGTAAGGACCCGGAGCCGCTAGAACATAAAGTTCCAACTTTTCACAAAGATTTAACAGGTAATCAACATCCCTATTATCATCAAATTTAAAGATACCTTCATCGGGATTATGAAATCCCCAATGAAAGTAAATTCGAATGCAATTAAACCCTCCCGCCCGATACTTTTTCAATATATATTCCCATCTCGATCGATCGGGTAACCGCCAATAATGAAATTCTCCACTAAATATCAAAACGGGCCTTCCATGAATAGATAAACAATGTTTATCCCAATCAAGGATATGTCCATATTTATTACGATCATATGAACAATCCGTTGTCGTTATAGGCAATGTTCCTTTACGACTTTGTAAAAGCCAAACATAAAAGGCAATCAATCCAGTTGGAATTGTTACTAAAACCGTTACAATTTCTGCAATCATGATAAAAAAAGAATTAGTATAAAAAATTTGATAATTTCAAATTTGATTTATATATTATCCTTTTATTACATCATTGATTATTGATCGTCCGAGAGATTATCATCACAAAAAATTTATATTATCAGATGGATATTAATGAAAATTAATAAAAAAAAACAGTAAATTTTAGCCATAAGGTTAAAATATGCACTGATAAGGTGCAAAGCCGATCGTAAATCGGTATTCAACGCCCAGAATTCTAGATTCTTCACACGTATGTGACGCACTGACAAATTTTTTTTTTGTCACACCCGTCGGTATTTTCTATGCTTTTTTTTCCTCGTTTCATTGATTTGTGTAAATTTTTTATTAATGATTGAAGGTTGATTTTTGCAACGAGGAAAATTATAATGATAATAATATAATTCTAAATAAATTAAATAAATGAGATAATTCTAATAAATGAAATTATGATAATAAATAATTTTTTTTTTTGTTCTAATGTTTTTTTTTTTTTTTTTTGCCGCCCTTTTTTATGCATTAATTCTGTTTCCCGTTTATACATGATCGGTAGGTAAGAAAGCCCATATTGTTCCAAAAGTACTTAATATACTACAAATAATAATAATTGTCACATTCAACGCATATTCTTTCCGACTTAACGTGTCTCCAAACAATTTTAAGTGGCATACACATGGGAAGATGGCAGAAATCATGTATGAAAAGAAACTTCCCAAAACCCCCATAACTCTATCGAAACCAGGAAAACGAATTGCAATAAATACCACCAACGTTGATACTAAAATTCTTGATAACATTTTTAAGGCCGTACGTCTTCCCCGACCAGAATTACACCACTCTTCTATTTCCGGATTTAAATTATAAGATAATTCCAGGGTCAAATTTATAGGGTTGAGCGTTAACGCGTACTTTGCTATCGGATTGATTGCCACCAGCCAAATCACGAAATGATTCAGAGGACGCCAATACCCTTCCGTGGACATTATATTTTGCGTTATCTAAAATGATGAATGAAAATAAAATTAGGTACAAAGTTATATCTTTAAATCGCGAAATATTTAATTCAGCAAAAGTTACCTCTTGCATGGTGTTATTACCAAACATTAGGTAACCGCACACTGCCAAAAGAAGATACACAAAAGTCGTCGTGGTGTACGTTATATTGACCATTCTCGGATATTGTTTTGGATTTCGCATATCCTTATATACCGTTGGAAACACAGCATGTCCTGTTTGTAACGATAAAAATTTTTTTTTAAAAAAAAAAAAAAAAATAACTTTATTACAAAGAGATATTATACCTGTAAATCCAGCCATTATTAAACCAAAACTCATTGGCAAAGAAGCCCAAGCAACCGGCCATAATTCGGTTTTCATGGGATCAATTAAACTTCCAGGCCTTTCATGCTTGGTAAATCCATCAATTACGATAACGGTCACCAAAGAAAAAGCACTCATGATACCAAGTAGTGAGAAATACGATAGATATCTGATGGCGATGAACGTCAATGGAGTCATAATCGTCCATGCAATCACTTTTAACAGGATTATCGATGTGTCCGGAAATATTGTATGTAATGAATCTCCGACTAAAATGACCAATGCTGTCGCCGATGCAATCAATTCCAATGAAAATAATATCGAAATAGCAAGCCGCGCTCTTTGTCCAAATGCGGTCGCGCCTAAAGAAAGAAATAAATTAATAAATTAATTAATAAAAAAAAAAAAAAATTAAAATTTGCAAAACAACATGCATACCCATATCCGCATATGTATATAGTCCTTCGTCATAATCTAGACATTTCGCTAGTACTTTTGCCGTATAATTCGTCACCCCCAAACAAAACATGAACAATGATAATCCAATTATCCATCCTGCATAGCGAAATCCGAGCGGCAACGCTAAAATGCCGATCCCTAAGATAAAAATTGAATAATTAAAAAATCGAGTTACGGAATGCGGAAACTGCTGCGCCACATACAACCAATTTGGCAATTTACCGATTAAAATGTTGCAAGAGTTGAAGATTGATTGACGGAAATTTGAACCAACGTATGAATCTTCATGCCTTATGTCTTGTACAACCGAAATTGGAATAGAAGTAAACGAACTTCTTGAAATAGTTCGTACAAGCGGAGTGGTTTGTTCTGAGATTCTCGATGGCCTCCTAGATCCTTGATTAATCTCATTTGCCGAATTTCTCCACATTGAAGTGTGACGGTTATTTGTATATGATGTTCCAAGATAATCGCCAGGGTCGTAATCCGTTTGACCTCGTCTGATTGGAATTGCGCCGTCTTCTGATAGAGTAGGAAGACTTGGAACGATACTTGGCGCAAGGAATGATCCGTACTGCTGCGTACTTCTTCCAGGTGAGTAATATGAAGGAAATTGTTGAGTTTGTCCATAAGCAATGTGCGAGAAATGAGATCCGGGCCCATGTACGGTTACGGTTGGTTCCAAATTATCTTCAATAAAGGAGGCAGGAACCGCAATGTTGTTGGACATGTACGTACTAAAGATTGAAAGGGCATATACTGTATGTATGTATTTTTTTTTTTTAAAAAAAAAAAAAATAATTGATTTACCTCGCGGTAAGACTGTAGTTCCCTGTCCATGATTGTAAAGTACCGGCTAGAGAATGTGTGATATTTGACAAATTCCCAGTTCCCCTTCGTCGATGACGAGTTGATGGAATATTAATAGGTATAGTAGAATCTTCACTACCACTACTGTTTGACATTTTTTTTTTTTTCAAAGAATTTGTGATTGATGAAAAATTATCATTTCATATATATGAATTATTTTTATACCGTTTATTTATTATTTATGCGGGTGATGACGACGATGAAATAGATGATGCGGCGACAATTAATGATATCGTCGATCATTCCAGTGTAGCACGAACTGCATAACTTTACTATGTAATTAATATTAAGTACGGATTGATAAGCTGCACGTATAACGAATTACGGCAAATGTTTCGAGTAAACATTGCCCATCCCAAAACTTATCTTTTATGATTAACCAAAAATGGGTTTAGTAAATTAAAAAGTTGTTTCAGCCATCTTTGATGCTAACACGCATATAGGTGCGTCGTTGTTACGTGACACATAATCTCTGACGAGAAGAAAAGATGAAAAAATCCGCAGTTTGCTTAATTTCGTGCTACCACAACGATCCAAATCGGAAAAATTTTAAATTACAATTGGTAGTATTTCGCTGCGTGCGAATTATTTGAAAATTTTCATCCATAACCTTGCGGAAAGACGTTTGTTTTTTTTTTCAGGTGGAACTGTCACATGTACGAAATGTACGAAAAAACAATCTGTCATGTTCCCATTTTTATAAAATCTCGATATATAAACGATTAATAAATTTCATGCTTTGATTCCGACACATTCAAGTCTAACCGCTTAAAGGATTTTTTACTGCGGAACAAATTGTTGCAGATCTATTTCACCTAATTTATTTAAAGAATAAGTTAAGGTTCTTATGACTTTCAAATGTTTATATTATCAAAAAAAACCTGTGCTACTTAAATCTTTCGGGTTAAAACTTTAATTCGAAGCCAAGTTTGAGAACTTTTTTAGTCCCCATTTTTTGGGCAAGGACAATTTGTTCATCATCAAAAAAAAAAAAAAATCGATAAATTTATATAAATTATAAAAAGTTTGCTTGGGAACACATTTGTTGTTACATTTTTTTTTTTCCTTTTTTTTTTTTTTATTTAATTTTTTAAATTTTTAAATGTAATAATATCTGATGCATCAAATCTAAACACAATCGATAACGCAGATATAAAGTCAAAAAAAAAAAAAAAAGTTACAGATTGTTTTACCTTTTTAATTATTATGATATATTCATTTTTACGTAAAAAAAAGTCCGATTGATTTTTACAGCCATTTTCAATCAGCGAAAACATGTCACCATTACCATACCGTATCGTTCGTTTTTTATTCCAAATCTCAAGTAATGCATTTTATGCGGTTGAGGTTGACGGATTAGAAAACATTCCTCCAGATGGATGTCCAACAATTCTTTGCCCAAATCATTCAAATTCTTTAACCGATTCTATTTTATTATTGAGTTCGGTGCCTCCTGAAAAAAGGGACATGGTGAGTTTTAAGAAAAAAGAAGGGTGAATAATACAAAATAATTTAAATTTAAAAAATTTTTTCTTTTCCAAATAAATAAAAGATTCGGATGACCGCAAAAGATACTTTTTGGCATAAAACTGATGCATTTAGGTAAGTAATACATAAATAATATAATCAAATTAAAAAAAAAATTTATTAAATTGTTAAAATTTAATGAAAAAATTAGTTTATTTATAAAGAGTGTCGGTACAGTTCCTATTAAGAGAGCAAAGGTATAAATATTTTTATGATTTTGACAACTATTTAAAGTTTTAACGCTAAAAAGTTGTTAAATCATCTGATTAGGATTATAATAATGCTAAAGTCGATAACGCTTCATCATTCGAAGTTCTCTATGATGTATTTATCTTTTTTTTTTTTTTTTTCTTTTTTTTTATAATTTACCTTTTCAAAAAACAATTTATTATTATTATATAGACTCTGGAAAAGGGAAATTGTATTTGTTTGTTCCCTGAAGGTATCAGCAGATATCATAGTCAAGTCGCAAATTTCAAACCTGGAGTTGCATGTATGCCAAATAAATTTCTCTTTCTTCTTGTTGACGATTATGATGGATAAATTAAAATTAATAAATTAATCGTTAATTTCATAATTCACAGTAATAGCAAGCGAGGCAAATTGATTTATCGAATTTTAATGTATTATAATTTCTCCAACTTTTGACAAGGTCATTAATTTTTTTTTTCATTTTACTTAGATCCTTACTCGTAATAAGGATAAAGAGGACTTTTCAGTTAATTTACTAACGGTCTCGATCGTTTATAACCACCGTGAAAAATTCCGATCGAATGTGTTGGTGCAATTCAATCCACCCATCGTTCTCACACCAAAGCATCAAAATCTCTTAAAAACAATTACAGAAGATGGTAGGAGGCGTAGTAGTGAACAAGCGATAAATGAATTAACGAACGCAATGGAAGAAATGATTCGTTCAAATTCTCTGGATTCGCCTGATTGGCAAACTTTAAGAATCGCTCATACTGCAAGAAAATTATATGCCGGAGAACTTGGAACCAGAATTTCTTTTTCAGAATATGTCAAATTGACGAAGAAATTCATTGATCTTATGTCTAAAGTCAAGACGGTTGAGAACGGTATTTCCGAGGGTTCGAGTAATAATATCCCAAATGGTACTAGCATTTTGGATGAGAAAGAATTCATCGTAGAACGTGTCGATGCGGGAAATTTGTTAACCGTGGATAATCCCGAAACTGCAAATGAAAAGATCTCTCATCAAGGAGTTGATTTGGCAATTTTATCTAGAGATTTGACCGTAAGTAATTAAAGAGTTTCATTATCAAGGTTATTAAAAATAAATCGAAAAAATTTTTTCCGTTACAGGCATATCAAGATCTTCTGGATTCACGTGGAATTAAAGATTATAGATTTAGCAATCCCATCCCACTCTCTAAACCTGCGCTTATATTTCGTATTTACTTGCGTGTTATTTGGGCATTCGTCCTTGCATCCCTCTCACTACCTGGTTGGGCTTTGTGGTCGCCTGTATTTATTGCCGTCAAGTAAGTGAATACCCGAGTAAATCTATACTTTGATTCTTCTATTGATTATTTTTTTTTTAATAGGTACAAAGAATATCAAATTCGTAAATTACCCATAGAAGAGAACCTTGATGAGATTGCTCAATACAAATTACTCATCTCCGCAATTTTACTCATTCCAATTTATTTGATCGCATGTTTCTTTACACTTCCATTTATTCTTATCACATCGTGGTTAATTCCATTATTGATGTGGTTAACTATAAGATGGACGGAAGATTTATTCCAGTCCATGAGATCTTGTATTTCACTCACCAAATTATTATTATTACCACTTTCCGAATATAGTGAGATTCGTTCTATAAGGGAAAATATTAGAATGAGAGTACAAGAATTAGCTGTTCACGAATTGGGATTACCTGAAAATCCGGAGAATTTAATTAGTAAAGCTAGACCCCGAGGAATGGGATACTTTAGTATTAGGAGGAGGAGAAAGAAAGATTATAATGAAGTTTTAAGGTTATGGGATGTTTCAGCCTATGAATGAATAATTAGGCGACCCAAATGCAAATATTTGAACCTTGACCCATCTACTATTGTATACTTGATGTAAGTGGTCAAGATTAAAGTATGTGATGGGTCAAGGTTCAATAGATTTGCAGTCCAGAATATGAAAAAAAAAAAGTATGGATTTCTTTCTTAATTTATTTATTTATATTTTAACACAAACAATTTAATTCTCGTCATGTAAATTAATTACTCATCCATTATTTATTAAATAAAAGAAAATCACATCATGTATCATGCGTGATTAATAATATTGTCATTAACTTTGTCAAAGATTTGATTTGTGATCCATAACACAAACTTGCATTTGAATTCGTCACTAATATCTTTTCTTGATTAATTAATTTCAAAGTTTGATTATGGCTTACTTTTTCATTGCCCTAAACTGGTTTATCCAATTTCGGGTTTTGAACTTTACCAATTTCGTCATGAGTTTCATCATATTATCTTAGTCAAGTTTCGGCAAATAACTTTGCGCAAACACTGAACAAAACGAAAAAAAAAAAGAGAAAACTCGGAATAAAAGTATTACGATTATGTACAAACGTTAGAACTTAACAAAACTATTAAATACAAGAGTTCATAAGAGAATTATTACCTTACCTTAATAGAGTTAAATTTGTAATATCACAACCTATTTAACAATCTATAATAACAGCTTACAAAAAGGCATTATTCAATTGATGAAAAATTAAAAATAAAAATACAAATCTCTTTACAATTATTTTTAGTATTTAAATTATTTTTCATTAAAAGCAACTTTATTTATATTTATTTACAAAATTTATAATACCTTAAAGGATTTAAAAATAATTAGGATAAAAACAATTTATTTATATTGATTCTTTCTATGTATTTGTTCTTTAAATATCTGATCATTGATACTGCATGTATTGCATTTGAAATTCATATTAAAAATATTAATAAATAAATTTTATAAAATATATGTTTTTTGCAATAAAATAAGAAATTTTTAAAAAAATTTTTTTTAAATTAATATAAAATATGAATATATTTTACTGAAAAAAATTATATTTAACATACAAAAAAAATTTTTTTACATATGATTTTTCTTTTCAATTAAAAAATAAAAAAAAAGATTTAATATTTCATTTATTATATTTTTTGATAAATTCATTTATATCATACTAATATATATATTGATAAAGATTTTTAATAAAATTAGAATCATTAGGATTTCAAATTAAAGAAGTAAAAAAATAAGTTATACAGTAGCAGCAGATTAAATTCTAAAAGATCAGTATATTTATTTTTAAAGTATTATAAAAATTATTAAAATCATTTTATAATTTTATATTATTTTTGTTTAAATAAACTTTACAATTATTTTTATTAATTCATAAATAAAGTATATGACTATTTTAGAATCTTTTTCTCATTTAAATTGAAAGTGAATATTAATTTAATCTATTTTTTAATAATAATTTTATATGTCAAATAATTCTTAAAAACATTTTTATGATTATAAAAAATTAAATAATGATAAAATACTTTTCTTTATAAATAAATTTTAAATAATTTTTAATATTTTATAATAAACTTAAGACTTGATCCATATATGATCAACAGTAATTACTATATAAATTCAAGAGAAGAAAAATATTATAAAACAATCAAAATTGATAATATATTACAAATTAAAAATTACAAATAATGTCAAAATAGTGAAATAATATCAAAGATAATACTCTTTATTAATAAACTCATAATAATACGTTAAAATCTGATATCTATTATATCTTAAATATATGTTATTTTAGTAAAAACTGAAAAACCTTTACTATAAACTTTTTCACATTATTAGTAAACACTTTTAAGTATTTCTGACTCACATACTTTTCTCTAATTTTCTATTAAAATAGATCAAAAAAATTAAAATAAATATGACTTTTATATAATAATACAAAGTCTCAATTATAATTAAATGTTGTTTAAATATTATTGCTAAAGTGATAATATTTAATGATGTTAGGTAAAACTAAAATATTTAATAATATAATAAAACTAAAACTATTTAATTTTTAATAATTAAAATACTGAAATACTGAAATTTTATTTTCATAGATTTTTCATAAATATTAATACAATTTTTATAATATTATAAATTTTAAAAATTTAAATTCAACTTGCCAATATGAGTTAAAATGAAGGAATTTAGTATAGGATTATAACGTAAGTAAATAAATGAATAACAATATAATGATAAATATAACTTAACAGTATAATTAATATCTTTTAGGATTTTTGTAATTATCAAAATGAAGCAAGAAGAGGTAGGAGGTAGACCTATATTATGGAAAGATTATACGACCTCTTTAGGACTCGATTCTGGGATAGGCTATGTAATAATTAAAAACGTTTAAATGATTTTTTAGATTATATTAAATATAATTACTTTTTTAGAATTGAGACACACTTATAGGAGAAATCGTAATTTACCTACTACTCTTTATACAAAAATATGCTCTTACCGTTTCTGATAATAAACGATTACATGTTTTAGTAATTGTATTTTCTGCAACTGAAAAACGCTTGCTTAGATGTGATATTGGTAGGTTGGATTGAAAGATAATCTTGTGTCATCTTACTTAAGATTGGGTACTCTTTTGTATGTGCTTGTCACCATAAAAAAGATTCCATTTCCTCATTAATAGGAAGTGCAAGATAATGATTTAATTCTGATGATGATGATGTTGAGATTAGTAATATAGAGGAATTTTCATTAATTGGTTGTCGAAGTTAAGTAAAATATTGACGAGTATTAGTAGTTGATTTAGATAAGGGTAGTAATATTATATTAGAAAATTATTCTTTATATATATTAAATATAGCTTGAATATGAATTTGTGCACTTTCTCTTTAGTGATTTAAAAAAACTGAAAGTTTATTTTGAGAATCTAAAATAGCTGAGACAGTTGATGATCTATCCATTATATTCCAATATTCATTAATAAGTTTATATAAGATTGAGATTACAATTTCACATTGTGTAAAACCTTCATCACCCATAAAATTCTCTAAATATATTTGAATTTCTTTAAAAATAAATTGTACATCACTTAAAATAGGATATAATAAAGCTAATAAGTACTTGGTGACACTTTCTAATAGTTCAAAAAGTAGGTAAATATTCTATTTATATTATTATAATTTTTCAAGTTAGTTTAAAATTAATTTATATTTAATCATTATCAAAAAAGTAATAAGGGAATTAACTACCTTAATTATAATCCAATCATCATCTTTTGGATAAAGATCTTTAATTGATTGAAAGTCTGCTATGAGTAAACTTAAAGCTGACTCAAGATTTTTTAATTAAATTAACATATAATATGTCAAGTTCTAGCGAGTTTCTACATCTAAAATTAGTTTAAAATATGTAATATTTTTTAAATTACATAAAAGGCGAAGTTCATCACAAAGACGAGTCAATTTCTTTATTTTAACTATAAGTTCTCGCATTTTTATAATTAGTTGATTAATTAATTCCATTTCATATTTTACTTTTAAGTTAAGAATGTGAATAACACATCGATAATATAAAAATATCATAGTAGAAAATGCTAAATCAACATTTAAAGCAATCTCTCTTTCACATACTATTATTACATATTCATTATTTGTCGTAAGTTAAAAACTTTATTTAAAATTTTAAATTCTTATATTAAAAAAAAAGTTACAAAGTTACCAATCAGAAACTATGTAATGAATTGTAAGTCTCAAAAAAGTTTCTTGATTTATTGAAGTCTACATATCAGTAGTTAATAAGTATTGTCTTAGAAATTATTAATAATTTTAGCTTATCAAAAAGTAAAAGCCTTAATTATTAAGTTTTTTACTTAATGTCTTTCAGAAATAGAATATTGCGGACAAAAAAATTTGATTATTATCTGAAAATATAGATCATCAACAATTGTAAAAGGTTAAAGATCACAAATTATCTATTGTGCAAGATAATTACTATATTCTTTTTACTTATTTTCATTAAGAGAACCTGTTCTTTTTATCATTAGAATTTCTTGTTTTACGAGAACTTCTAGCTTATGTTTTGTAAAATGTTTTCTTAAAGAAGAAATACCTATATACAATTGGAATTTTTTATGACACTTTTTACAAATATTAATCTTGAGTTATCTGAATTTTTACTAATATATTTCTATACTGAACTAGAACTAACAGGTGCAGAATTATCATCATTAGGGTTTATATCCCCCACTTATCATCATTAAAATTATCAAGTTTGTTAAGATGTTCATGATCAAGGTCTTCCTGGTTGAATTCTTTCTGATTATTGAAATAATCATTCTTAAGATAAATAATTTTTTTTTACTGATTATTGATTTTTTTTATTATATAATATAATCTTTTCGATATATCTATATTCATGATTTTGATTAGTTTTCGCATAATTTATCATTTAATATTCAAAAAAAAATTCATATGATACATAACTTTCTTACCGTTGAAAACTTCTTATCCTAGTTCCACCTAGATAAGTAATAATTTTGTTCATATAATATTATACAATTAATTTATAAATATAGTTTTAATGCAACTCTTTTTTAGTTATAAAAAAAAAGAACAAATTTAAAAAAAACCTTTGGAAAAAAAATAAAAATGATCTAATTAAAAAAATTGTGAATAAAGATTATCTATAGATAATTGAAAAGTCTCAGAATATTAGTATTATTCATATTAGTGCCAATGCTATCTTTTTTAAACTGGATGAAAATCATGATTTTTTCTGATAAATTTTTTTTATTTCACGCTGATTATTCATTTAAATTATTTAAGAGAAATTCTTTCATTATAATATAAACATCGTAAAGAATTAAATGTCAAAGAGAATAAAAAGATTGGAAGAAAAGACTTTTATGAGAGAAGGGATAAATATCTTTTGCAAATTGACAGTAAAGGATTTTATTACATATATTTTAAATAAAAATCACCATATTTATA